TTTTTTTTCTTTTTTTTTATCTGGTGCGAATGAGCCAAAGGGCCCACTTTGCGATGGCTTTGGAAGCCCACATCGCCTCTCCGATATCCTCTTTTTAACTACCGAACAATAAACAGCCATTCTCGGAGCTCTCAGGAGGCGCCCTACCCGAAACAACCTTCCCGCTTCGGCCATCTTTCGTTATCAATTGGGTCGGTTCGTTCGTATTGTTCGTTAACAGTTGGTTAGGTTCAAGTGTCCAATGTCTGTCCTCCTTGCTTCACCTCACTTCTCCCTCTCCCGAAACAACGTTGGAGACACGGCACCGTAAGATAAAAGCTGTGTCAGGGAGAGCTCACCCGAACATTAATAGCTTCATCGATCTGATCAAACGGGATGAGGCCTTCACGAGACATAATTAAAAATAAAACAACGCAAATACGAGAACAAAGTAAAAGATAACCGACAGGATACAGCACTGTGTCCTGTCGGTTATCTTTTACTTTGCCCATCGTATTTGCGCCATTTTGTTTTTAATTATGTCTGCATATCAATTGTAGCCCAAACTTGTACGTTAATCAACCTTGACAAGGGTACCTTCGTAGCAGCTTGCAAATAGTGGTGCCGTGCGGGCCAGGGGACAGCAGCGAACTATCAAAATCGGAGTGCAGCCTTTCAGATGGTGCGATTGTCCTGCTCGACGTCCTCAACAAAGGCGATAGCATTTTGTAGTTTATGAACTTTCCTGTGAGCGCGAGGGTTTTGTGTTTGAACTCGTAAGAAAATGAAGTCGCAATCATATGCCCCGTCAACTTGTCTAATTTCTAACTCTTCAAAATATCCCGTTCACTATAAGGAAGTTTTAGAATAACGTGCGTAAGCGCTTTGGGAAACCTAAAAATAGCGTCGCGATTATAAAACCTAAGGCAGCGCTAATTTTTGTTTACTCAAAGTGCTTGAGCGCGACACTGTTTGCGAGAACAAGCGATTGTAGTTTTTCGCAGTTTGTCTGAAAGAATGAAATGACTGCCATCAATATTATTAGTGTCTTTGAAAGTGCTCATCTGGGCCACTAAGCTAAGCGGTATACAACTTGGTGCCTTCTAACACCATTTCGAAGTAACATTTAAACAATCGTCTACATCGTGTTCGCGGTAACATTGTCGCGTTTCGTAGTCCCACATTTTGGGGACCATCTTGACAGAAACATTTCAAGTGGTTCAAGTAGAAATATCTTTCGTTGGAGCTTGTCTGAAAGTGATGTATATCTTAAGAATACATTGACAATGAAAACTAGTTCACAACATAAATAAATAGCTCGCCGGCACCTTTGCTTTAATTGCGTTAACGAAATTTCGGCACCTATTTTTAAGGAGAAAATGTGAGCAAACCAGGGTTAGAACGATGGAGACTTTTCGCGGAGAGGGTGAGATGTGCGTGGCTTTATACTAATGTGTTTTAACGGGACGGGCGCAAACGTAAAGGCGTTTCGGGAACGGGGTGAAAAGGGACAGGTTCAAATGGGAAGGGTGATTCAGGAATTCTCCAGTATGAGCCTCAGCCGGTACACGAAAGCAGTCTTCCGGAGCTGGTCGGAGCGCTCGTCACGGTGACCCCTCTGTGTGTGCCGCCGAGTGGATTTTCTGCTAGTCGCCCCATTTTTGTGCAACTTCTGTCCTTGTGAAAATGGGCGTGTGGTGCAAGGTGCTATTCCTCCGATCCTATCAACACCAGGCATCAGACGGCATAAAGCAGGTCCGACCCCATCAAGCGCCCTAGGCAAACTCCTGCCGTAACGCCCCCGGCGCCCCGTTCCCTTCGCTTTTTTATACGCCCCTATCTACGACATCACGTAGTCAGTAAACATGTGAGTAGTGTTCCAAAACAAGTTTTCTTTTTTTTTCTGACAAGAACCGCCGTGTTTAAATAAATTAGTAAGCTACAAAAATTTTCAAATGGGTCGCAGCGGCGCAACCCTTTTGATGGCTTCCTGGGCGGCATCACGGGTCGCCTACCCCCGGTCCTGGTATAAAGTCGTGGATATCAAAAAAGTAAGATTTTCTTTTTTTTTTCTTTGGGGCTAATTTGAAGGAGGAACTATTTTCTGCGGTTGCGGTCGTCACGAACGTTTACAATTAGGGTCGATACGTCCTTATCAGTGTTCCAATTTCTTTTTTTTTTTTTTAGTAACTGTCGCTAAGCCCAGTTTGCACGCTTAATCCCGTTCGGAATGTGTCGTTAGCCTACTGTGGTCCTTATTGATTCGTGTTCCCTATACCGCTGCTTAACCTTATCATGAATAGATCTATCCTTCTTTTCACCCATAAGAGCGTCGCCTCTTTTACTATTAATTACACTAAACTCGGTCCTAAAATTTCTCCACCAGATAACCCTAGTTATATTGTCCTTGTAAGTAATTTTTTATCAATTTAGTCATGTACGGACCGCTTCGTGACCCACCTTTTATATCCCTGCTTTAAGTGCGCTTGAAACTGGGTTTTAAGTGCTTTCAGAACAAACTCATGAAAAAATCAGAGAAATCGGCTCGCAATCTCCACTCTGCGCGTGCCCAACAGAGTGCACTGGTTCGCCGACTTTCTAAAAGATTTAAGTGGGAGAGCCCTTTGCAGCATTCTCAAGAAGGGGTATACTGTAATTTAATGCATTATGCCCCATTTTCTTGGGAGTACCTTTAAATACTCCCAAGAGTGTATCCGTTCAGAGAGGGAGAAAATTTGTCGACACCTGGTGACTTCTTTGCTCAAATTAGTGTTTTATTCAATCAGCTTATCGCAAACCCCTTATGGTCGTGCAAAAAATTACTACATTTACTACAGCACAGTCAATAAAACCAGTTTTCAAAATAATGATCATGCAACAAATCTTACAAACTAATAACTTACAAAGATGTTAAACGGTTGTCTCAGTTCATATCCTTGGCCTTTCGCTCTCAAATGATATTGCAATTCCAATTGGCGTAAAAGTAACGTTCGTTCTCGTTTGAAAGTAACCGTAACGGTATATCGTTAACGGTCGTAGGACGGTGACGAATCTCAGTTGCCCGTAAAGTTTTGACGATCAAACGAGTGACGCTATTTTCTTACATGTTTTCTGTAACGGGCACACCGGTGCTTGGGTCCCACTGGTGCAGAAAGCCCAACACCCAATATCTTTGCACGGCCCCTTGAAGCTGACAGTGCGGCGGGAGCTACATATTTGCCGGACCAGACAACCAATTTTTTTTTATCTCCTGACCACGCACTCCGCGTGTATATGGCTGGGAGCACGGACATGCTCGTGCTCATAGGTTCTACGACAAAGTCACCTTACGCCTTTTGCACATGCCACCAAGGAAAATGTTTAGCGTTCAATATAATTGGGTAAGTAATTTTGAACGAATAAATTGCACATTATTGATTTGAAGGGCCAGGTTTCAAATAGAATCTTGCCGTTATGATCGAAAACTACTAAAAACACCCACGCTACAATGGTACGATTGAGGCACGCGCAGCATTTTACGGCGTTCCGAAGAAATGCTCAATTTGGACGCGTATCTTGGTTTCGCTTTCTTATCGGAGCACATCTCCGTGCCGGCAATCCCGCCCCCCGTGTCTAAGACGCGCAACGTGCGTGCGCCGCCACTCATTGTATGTAGAGTAGTCTATATATGAAAGCCTCCGGACTGTCACATAAGGTCTGCCTTTTTGACATCGGTGTCAGAGTGAAGACGCACCTTCACCAATATTATCTTTAAAACCATCTCTTTAAAACTAATATTTAACAATTTAAGTACTCGGAATTTGTTAAATATCCCATCATATTCAGCTCTTACAATCTTCCTTTCACACAGACCACTACGGCATCGGGCTTCTTTATTGTGCGATGCGTAGTTTTCGCAGTAGCGATTTTGCACATTTTTCCGGAAACACCCTGTATATGTCAAAACAAATATTTTATACGTTTGGGAACAGGACTCTCCCTCCTTGAATTCTGGCGCATCAGGTAATAGTGACAACCACTGTACAGTCAGTGCAGATTAACACATATTTAGATGGATTATACATACATAGTTTTTAGATACATGAATATACACAATGGAGTCAATTACGCCTTTAGTACAACAAATGTATATGATCCGTCTACTACAAGAGAAATTTCGAATATTTAAAAGCCTGACGAAATCAAGTGATACTATACTTCGTTTAAGCTTAGGTCCGAGCGTGGCCGATGTTATGAGCCGAAGGGCCAGTCAAACAGCGAAAAAGGCACAAAGCCATGGCGTGTTCTCTGCAGTTCATAGGACTATAGGAGTAGCCGGTATTCGCCATCTCTCTGTGCGTGCTTTTCCACCGGCTAGTCCTATCAAGCGCAGAGAGCACGCCATGGCGTTGCGCTTTTTGCGCTGTTTTATTGGTCCCCCGGCTCAAAACATCGTCCGCGCTCGTACCTAAGGTGCAACGGAGTATATATGAACACCAAATGTATACCACTGAAAATATGAATATCCTAAATGCTGAGGACCGTCTTCGTGAATGTGCAAAAAAAAGAATAAAGTCATGCAAAAGGAAAACATACATACGAGTATTTCATGTAGCAAGCACATTGAGTGATGACATCAGAATTCAGATAGTCAAACTGGTCAAAAAGAAAAGGACGAAGAATATTACGAAATGAGATAGGAAATTACACTTCATTTCTAAATATCCGAGTCATGTATATTCTGTTGCCGTCCTATGAGCAAAGCATTAGTTTCCAGCTTGGTGTGCTAAATTGTTTCGAATAATGTTCTATTTTTACATCTTAAAATTATGTTGACCCCTCCACATTACTCGGTTGTTCTTATACTTTCTTAACCTTTGCAATATTTAAGATTGCTGCTATTGAAAGACCTTCGTTATTTTATAAGTTCGTATATTTATGGTCATGAGTAGGCCGACTTGTAAGGAACATAAGTGACCCTACAGCCAACACAGACTCCAGGTGCATCACGCCATTAATGACTTTAAATGAATAAAAAAAGATAAGGCTTCAAATATTTTCTTTTTTTCGTGTACAAAAAAGACCTCTGGTCGCTTCAACTAAGGTAAATTCACATTTTTTATCTGCGTTTGCTCGATAAATAACAGGCTGAAACATTTTGAACCAGCGAAACACACACTGCTCGCAAGTAGAACCGCTGCAGGTCTATCGCCAAGCCAAATGAACACACGTCGGTGCTCGAGTATTTCGTTTAAATCCCCTCCGCAACTATGATGCACGTTGCTGTTTCGATCACTTGCGATGTATCTTCCGATGAGTGTGTACATTGCTATAAGCCGCAAACGCTCTACTGCAGGTCTAGCACTTGAACGGCTTCTCTCCTGTGTGAGTCGTCTCATGAACCGCCAAGCTGCATTTATGACTAAACGCCCTGCTACACGTGTTGCACTTGAACGGCTTCTCTCCAGTGTGAATTCTTTCGTGATCCGCCAAAGTGCGTTTCAGAGTAAACGCCTTGCTGCACGTGTTGCACTTGAACGGCTTCTCTCCGGTGTGAGTCCTCTGATGATTTACCAAGTTGGTTTTCTTAGTGAACGCCTTGCAGCACGTGTTGCACCTGTACGGCTTCTCTCCTGTATGAATTCTTTCGTGATCCGCCAAGCTCCATTTATGACTAAACGCCCCGCTGCACGTGTTACACTTGTACGGCTTCTCTCCAGTATGAGTTCTCTCATGATTCGTCAAGCTGGTTTTCTGAGTAAACGCCCTGCTGCACGTGTTGCACTTAAACGGCTTCTCTCCAGTGTGAATTCTAACATGAGCTGTGAAGCAATCCTTACGCGCAAATGTTTTCTCGCAGGCATCGCAACTGAAGGGCCTCTCGCCAGTGTGAGTCCTCTCGTGGATTGCGACATCCGCTGCGGAAGAGCTTGAGTGAGGACAGAAGCGGCACGGGTGCTTGTCCGGTCGTCGGTGCGTTTGCTGCTTGTGTGGGCCTGAATTGTTGGTCTGGGTAGAGGTGTCAATCCTGCGGCTGTCATGGTCAAAGGTATCCACTTTGTCGCCACAGCCTGCTCCTATCCAGTCTGTTGGGATGACACGACAGAACAAGAAAGGTCGGCGCATTTTTAATTGTTCTGAACATGGTCCAGTATACCTACATTATGCCGGTGCGGCCTACAGTGGCTATTCGTTCATTTGAGATCTTAAAAAGGTTAATTCGCAAAGCTTGTAAATGTCTACAGGCGATCGTTAAAGACTCGATTCTGGCAGCCCCACGGTGCGGCAGCTGTGGTGGCTTGCATGTTCTGCTAACCAAGCGCAGAAGGGAAGTCAAGCCGCCGCGGTCGCTGCTGCACAGTGTTGGCGGTAACGTGTTACAAGTAACGTCGTTACCGGTAACGCCTTTCTTTTTTCAGTAACATGGTAACGTAATTGTTACTTTTCCAACACAGTTACGGGTACCGTACTTGCGTTAGTTATTTCAAGTAATGGATAACGTAATTACGTTACTCGTTACATCTTCCAAAAACTTGAAAAACGATGTTAGCACAGAACGAGCGGGTTGGTAGGGATAATTAAACTTGAGGAAGAAAACGTGTTTGTCCCTCCCTTTTTGTTTTTTCCTCAAGTTTAATTGAAAAACGAACACCTGTATTTTTTGCCAGTTTCTATACTTCGTTTTACCTGAAGTCCAGACGCAGCTGACGCTACAAGCTGATGGAAATTATCAGAGAGAGGGAAAAGAGAACCATTATGGTGTTGTCCGTGTTTCTGTACTTGTTCAATCTTTGCTGAACCAACCATAAACATTCATGGCCCAGTGACTTGTGATTTTGACACTGCTTGATTTGTTCCATTAGCTCTAAGCGTCGGCTGCGTCTAGATTTAAGCTATAACGTAGTACATGATTGAAGTAATTAATTATTTCACTCATTCTACATATTTTCTAAATTTTCCTCTCTTTTTCCCACGCCGGAATTTCCACTTTAGAAAATCTCCAACGCCCGCGCCCGTCATCCCAGTGTCGAAAAACGCTGTCACCAAAATAAAACAAAAACGCTGTTACCGTCAATTTCTAAATAAAAAGTAACGCAAAAGTAACGTGCGCTACTTTCTGTCGGTAACGGTAACGCGTTCGTTCATTTGACAAGTAACGAATAACGCATCTTTCCTTTTTTACGGTAACGCCTATAACACTGCGGCTGCATAACACTGCCTGTATGGAACGCTGGGTGATAGCGTGTTGACATTCATAATGATCGTGACTGAGTATCAAGTAGCGCTGGAAGGGCCATTCACACACCCACAGATTATTATGTTACACAAAATAGCAATCAATTGGCTCGTAGAATAATCGTTGTGTAGCTTTGAAACTTGAAAAATCGCTAAGGTGAACAGCGATTATTTTACGAGCAATTTGAAACATCGAAAAACACTATTTCAAATCGGCATTGGTATGGACATTTGCCAGTCTAAAGCTAAACTTCGGCGACACAAATAATGCTGTGAGAAAAAATTCAATCATTTGAAACACCGAACCTTTATTGGGCTATTTCATTCATTAAAATCATTTATAATGTTTTGACAGCTACTCGATCAACCGAAATTAAAAAAAAGACAATTTTTTTTAAATAAATAAACTCAACACGGTACATTTTTTTTCGATATCAGTCATCAAATATGGTGTACCAATTGAAACTTCGAGTGCTCGGACTGAATGTTCTTCCAATAGAGCCCAGCTTGATTGTTTACTTTCACTTGAGTTGTCGTTCTCAGACTTTAGAATGTAACTCCTTTATCGCCCCCCCCCCCCCTTTCCTAAGAAAATAAACTTTGCATTGTGTTGTGGTGTACTTTTCTGCACATTGCAGGGCGCTAACCAAACCTTAAAGAACTTTCCACGTGGAAGAAACTTATGTACCCCACCAGACTCCTTAGAGTTTCCACCTTACACAAAATAGTATTCAATGGGGTCGTAAAATACTCGTTTTGTACCTTGGAAACTTAATACTTTGCGAAAGCACAGAGCGATTATTTTACGAGCAATCTGAAACAGCGAAAAACAATGTTTTAATTCGACATTCGAATGCACATTTGCCAGTCTAAAGCTAAAGCTAGGTGTTTAAAATAATCTTGTGAGAAAATCTTCAAGCAATTGAAACATCCAAACCTTTTTGGGTTATTTTATGTGTCAAACATAATTTATAGCATTTGTGAGAGCTACTCGATCAACCGGAACTAAAGATAAAATACAATTTTGTGATATAAATAAGCAACTCAGCATGGTACATTCCTCCGATATCAAAAAAGATGTATCAGTTGCAACTTCGAGTGCTCGGACTGAATGTTCCTTCAGTTGAACCCAGCTTGTTTGTTTACTTTCACTATAGTTGTAGTACTCGGACTTTGGAATGTAACCCCTTTATCCCACGGAAGGAAAACTTTGTGTACCACTTCAGACTCCTGACATTTTCCACCTTCTGGAAAACCTAGCCTACGAAAAAAGGGTTTCAATCCGTGTGGCACCAACCGTTCATGAATATGTGAGGGTGTGCTAAGAAGTTGCGAGGCTGGATGAGTGTTTTCCCGTGTGCGCCTTCGCATACCTGAGGTTGTTAGTTCTCTGGGCACCATAAGATTGGGGGCAGAAGTCGCACCGCCGTCCGTCCAACCCTGCGGCTCCATCTTGCATGGTTGCCTCTGCAATTCGGCTCCTTGGGAGAGCTCCGCCCCCTTGTCATCGCAGTCGGTTCTCTGCCATTCGGAGTCGAATGCTGCGTGGGCAATTTCTGTTAGGAATGAAGACAACATTTTCTGTAGTTGCTTTCTTTTTATTTATACTACACCAACAGAGAAGCCCAACCAGAACAAACTCCAAGAACAAGCAAGCAGAGACACATCGTGCAGATAAAGTAGAGAAATTCAGTGGTTTACATTCGTATTGAGGTTTGATTCAAAAGGTAAAATACTCAAAGCACGAACAAACACGCGCATCATAACTGGATATTGAACATCCCGAAAAGGTTGATTGTAAAAAATGCATGTGATCAAAACTTAAAAGCAATACTTCTCTATTAACCATGTACTTCAAAGGTTTCACTTCACCTTTAAACACTCGCTAAAGGATTACGTCGAAACAGTCCCACACAAATCGAGCAAGAAACAACTGGAAATGATCAAGGAGCATTGTTTAGTTACGTCGCTCCTGCTCTGTAGTGCTGAAAAAAGGCAGGCATGACACAAAACCAAGGTTATGGTATATCACCGCCATAGGTTTTGGGAATTACACGTCAACAAAACGGATACAGTGTGTCGGCGAACAAAGTTTTGGAAGGAAAGAGAAATGTCGCAGGCAGTTGGCTGAACTGTGGCCATTCCTCCTTTGATCCGACTAGTTGGTTCCATTAATCTGGAAAAGTCTAAGCCCAAAGGTCTGGCACTGCCAAAGTTGACCTGGCTGGTGGCTGGCCCTCCTTCCGCGAAAGGTCGCTCACATTTGCATTAAAAGCATTTCCGGTTACCTCGGCCTGCAAAGTATAGAAGAATGAGTATTAATAAACAGGCGCCAACACAAATTATTTTACCTGCCATCAGATATCGTCACATTCGATGAGCAAATCTAAAACTGAAGGGTACCAGTGCTGTCAACCGGTCTAGTTGGCTATTCATTACTTGATCAAACTGCGGAGTAAATGATTACGAGTTACGACGCAGAAACGAGAAGAAAAAAAGGCAACAAAAAGGGAAAACGCGCATTTGCAGTACAGTTTGATCAAGTCAAGAACTGAAGGCCACTTTCGAAATTAAACGCGGCGTGGATAACAGCACGCTTTGTCAGTACGAGAGAACCTGCACGAAATTTCACTCTGAAGGACACGGAAAAATTAAGTCCCATGGGACTATACCATCTCCAAGTGTGTATGTTTTAGCCAAATGCCAACGAGAAATTTTAAATTTCAGCGATAAATGTTTCATTATATATGCAACGTTTAAAAGCTAGGGGGAAGGAAAATGTTAGCAGGTTGCGTCAGTGCTGCACCCCCCCGCGACTGATGCTATCATTAATAAAATGAAATGAAGTGTAGATTAATCAATCAGACTCGCGTTTTGCCAAAAACCAACATAAGCGGGGTTCACTTAGGAAAAATGGGTTTTATCAGAAATACTTGGTTCACGTTCACGAGTTCCTCAGAGACTCGCATTGCTAAAGAGCCCTTTAGATCACCCAGAAGTTGATTACAAAATGTTATAATTTGGTTAATTGATCACTAGTATAAATTGATTACCATTCATCACCAGTATAGTGTTTACAGTCCCTATTGCAAGACAAGTATCTTTTTTCTCATTTCTTCTCACTCAAGACGAGCTTGAGAGGCATTCCCCTCCGCTTCGTCCCCATTAAAGAGAATCTGAAACACTTGTAGAAAAATATGAGATAGAGGTTAATTCCAGCGTAGTTTTATTCAGTAAATCTGAATATTGCGTTCGTTTCCTCCGAAAATGCAACCAAACGCGAGAAAACATGTAAAGCCTCCGACTAGTCGTGAAGTCATAATAGAATCTTTCGCCCGCGTTTTCAACATGTTCTATCGATCTCCTCTGCAACGCCCTCCCGGACCGTGTTGAGGGAATGGTTCAGGCTGGAAAATGGCGATTATTAGATTTTGTTCAGGCTTGTTTTACCATCTAGACTACAAGATAACGTCCTTCTTTTCAAAACCAGTTTTTGCGGTCGGTGTTGGTCCATGGTGAGAGCGATAGAATTCTCGGGTGCTGATTGAACGTGATGTCCCAACGTTTTACTGAGCGAGAGTTATCGGCCAATGATATATCTTAAGTTGGTTTCCGAGTTGTTTTGGTGAGAACTACTCATTAACACACGGATGGTGACAGGAGTCTCGCAGTAATATTTGTTCCGAGTGTACATAGGAGAATTTGAGCTCTGTACGGCAGCACAGCTTGAGATTTGCCGAGGGAGCGCCCGTTGTCGATCGCATCAAACGGGAAGTATAGCAGACCATTATAGTTTCAGCTTGCGTCCCGTATCACTTCGTCACGGTACTCGCAATTTACCAGAGGGCTGCCTTTATTCCGGTCCGTTAACGGAATAAAGTATTTTCTTGTTTTCTTTTTGTCTGCGAATGACGCTTCGTAGCAGACGAATTCTATTGTTCACTTACGTTAGCAGACTAATCATCTCCTGGCCTTTTCTTAACTCGCTCCGTAAAGTCCAGGTAACACTGCTCGTACACCAAACAAAAGACAGTGTGCAAACACCGTCTGAGACAAGCTTTTTTTTTTTTTTTTCGTGTCTTCTCATATTGGGCCTACCAAAACTGTTTGTAGACATGTTCGAAGCACTCATATATGTGCGATTCTAACACGTCTGCGGATAGTCTTGGTAGGCCCAATATGAGAGTACTGAGATAAAGGAACCAATTTTTGGCAGTTGACACAGTTGCAACCGCTTACGACCGGAGGGGCTTGTGAACCACCGTCTTCTGACTGCCGATGGCCGGCCGCTTCTCTGTCGGTTATATGTAGTCGCCGATGTTTTAAGCACCTGTGGTTTGTAAGCATGGCAGTAAGAAATGTGTAGATCTTCCATTACATCCGCAAACAATAAACAAAACGCGCACATGGCACACATTGTTTCACAGTTTTAGAAATAAGACACCACCTCCAGACATGTTGACATAATAAAACAAAAGTAAGACACTATTCAGTCTTCCCGCATTAAGGCATACTTAGAGGGATTATACAGTTTAAATATATAATTGGATGCAAGCCTCCGCTAGGCTTTGAAAAGGAAGAGGGGTGAGGGCGGTTGGTCGGCAAAGTAAGGTAAGACAGACAATGAAAAGTTCGCGCGCAGCAGGCTCGACTGTTCCCATCTCATATGATCTGGCTCTGTCGCATTTGTGTAAAGACAAAATGTAGCACAAAGGCCTTGCGCCGCCGAAAAGGGACTCGGTTGGTGAACGGCCACCTTTGCAAAGCAGCGAAGTGTCGTTCTCATATGTGTCGAAATTCCTGCCTAGTTTGATCTGCAAGGTTTAGAAAGACGACGATTAATAAACAGTAAAGAACGGAAGGCGACAATACTTGTTTGTACCCTTCACTACTCATATTCTGCAATACTGCAACTGGGTGCCGAATTTGGAAACAGGCATGTCAAATGAGGCATAAAAGAGTACAATTAAGCTTTACACTTGAATGAGATTATTATGCAACTGATCACCCCAAACAGGTCATGTTAAGAGACTTCTCTGCGTGTCGGTAAACGAGATTTACCGTCCATTTCAACCCCTGCTATATTATGCTATGATTGAAATCCTGTTCACGTGAATTTGACACGTTTTATTCCGAAAACGGGATCAGTAAAAAAACTTGGTTAGGGGCTGAGGCGTATGAAGATAAAACCAATGAGGTCTCAGATTAATGAAGGTGCACAGAGTACAGCTGCAGTACATCATTGACCTTACGGGTCTCTGCTCGAAGCGTGGAGCGAAATCTTGCGCTGCAGAATCTCAGAAACGGGCACACCAGTGCTTTGGCCCCACAGGTGCCAAAAAGCCCAATACTCAATATCGTTGCAACGCCCCTTGAAGCTGACAGAGCGGTGCGAGCTACACGTTTGCCGGACCAGACAACCGCCTCCATCTCATCGCCTGACCACGCCCTCTGCGTGGATATGGCTGGGTGCGCGGGCATGCGGCAAAAGATCGACGTTTGAGTGGTCCAACGGGCTCGTATACCATCCACCACCCTGCCAGCTTTGGCCCTTTGCACCTGCCATCAAAGAA